TGATCTTGCTGTTCGTCACCGAAGACAAATTCCTTGTATATATTTTATACTTGGTCATTCAAGTATTTTGGATTGTATTTGTATTGTAAAAGCAGCCTTCTCTAAGCCACGCTTCAACTGATCAGGGTCCCCACCAAACGGGCTGAAAAAGGCTGAACAGGGCTGTACGCCTCAAGCCTGTAATCTAAACCACCTTCTCCAGTGCAGTTTTGAGGTGTTTGAGCTCAAACCCTAACTGTGGCTAACCTAAAACTCAAAGCAAAGAAGAACCAGTTTGGCGTAGTGGTAAAGCTGCTGGACTAGAAACTAGGAGATTGCGAGCTTAATCATCCTTCAGATTCTGACGTTGGCTGGTCACTCTGTCTCAGACTAACTCACTTCACGGGGGGGGGGGAATATGAGGGAGCACTAGGTACATTAGTAGAGCACTAGGAGCACTTGAGTTGCACAAAAAAAGTGGGATATAAATCTAATAATAAAAGCTCCTCTGAGGAAAGGAGGAAGGAGATGGTGGGGAGGTGGAACACACAACCCATGCTTTTTTTCTCTGAGGTTCATATTTGTAACTGTCAGTGCTAACTTAGTAATATGTCCAAGTGTGGCCCTTTTCTTTCTCTGCTTTTTCACATTCCTCACATGTTCCAGTTTTAGCCTCCTGTATGGTTTGCTGCTGCCGCCTTTTATGGTGACAACAATCCTATGAGAGATCTTTGTCGCTTATTAGCAAGTAAGACTCTTCATTCTGCCTTGGCCTTATCCTTAGGGAAAACTAGCTGCCAAGGAGAGATAAGCTAATCATCAAGGGTAAAAGGGGATTGCAGACACAGAAGCTTCCAGCAGCCCTTCCTAGCTGCTCACCAAGGGCTCAGTGATGAGTCTGACTTACATATAAAAAAAAATAAGGGGTTGCTGAGCCCCTGAGAAGTCAGGACCAAAACAAGAAAAAAGGAGGAAGAAGAGGAAGAGGAAGCGAGGCCAGAGAGAAGGTGAGAGCCTAGCACAAAACTGAACTCTCTTGCTAGGAAGAGGTTGAACATTCTCCGGAAGAACTTTTTTAAGTCAAGAGCCACAAGACCAGGACAAAAAATCAGCGTTTAAACATTTCCCATTGATGGGAACGTAGGTTTGGCAGCCCTACAGTTTACTTCCTGAAACCACCAGATCAGAAGTTCATTCTGAGATAAAGAGAACGCTAGTCGAGAGGGACACAGGTGAGTTTCTCTCTGTTGAAAAGCTATCGTTTTGGGCTCCCTATGAAACATCTGAGCAATGCTGAAAAGCAGTACCTGTTAATACAATAGTATCCCCCAGGCCTTTTGGAAACGCATGTCCCCTCAACATCTCACACATGACTAAGCCCAGTGGGCTTGCAAGGCAACCCTGTTTTTCAGAATACCCAAAGAATCTGGACTCACCACTTCCGCCAAGGCCGAAATCACCTTCCCCAGCGTGGTCAGCGACTTGTTGATATTTGCTCCCTCCTGGAAAACGAACCAGACATTTGATGGAGAAGTTGCTCAACTACGAGAAAGTTGGAACTGAAATCTTGTTTTCCTGCCCTCAGGCAGGCTGGGTTTTTATTTATGGACTGCAGCAAGGACTTTAACACTTGGATCTGTCCAGGGCTCAGTCTCTGGAAAGCAATGGCTGAAGAGGACTAACCAGTTGTTCAAGGATATTCGATGAGCTGGCATGCAATTTTAAGGAAGAGGGGCAGGAGTTAAACCTCTCAGAAAGGGTTAAGAGGGGCAACATGCTAAAGAAGCCCATGAACGAAGCGCACTGGTCCTATCGTGATCAAGATGGCAACTTCCTCCAAGCCACTTAGGACAGGAGTCAGACCAATGGTTCCTTTAGATCAGTACTGCCCGCTCTGTCTATCAGCAGCTCTTCGGCAGAAGCTTGGCGCCATCGCTGGCTATCGAACCCTTTTACCTGGAGATGCCAGGGGTCAAATGGGGGGCTCCCTGCAAACCAAAGCATGATGGCTATTCGCCAGCTGCACATCAGACCCTAGAAGAGGAAGCTGATACCTTCAATCGAGTCCCTTTGGCACCAGTAGAGTCGGCTCGCTCGCTCCCGGCAAGGTCTACGAGACTGATCTTGCTAACCTGGAAAGATGAGCAGGGTCAGGCCAAGAAAGGAACAGTTGAGTACCCCAGTCCAAAGGAAAGCTGGTCAGACTGTTGTAATTTGGCAGGATTGGACAAGACCAGGATTGTACAGTGTTCAACTGGATTGGTACAGCTCTACCCTCGTAGAGTATACACAGTGCTAAATAAGTTGTCTGCTCTTTGTTGTGGTTTTCCAAAGTATTATTCCAAGTCACAAAGCTTTTCTCCCCCACTGGGAATGTGTGCTTTTTTAACATGCAAATCTCACTAAAGTTTAAACTGTTGCTTGCCTGTCTCCATCGCCAATCTCAACTAGGTTTGTGGGGAGGAGGCAGAAAGGAGTTAATTAGTCATTAATTTGTTAAGCTCTGCCAGGCAGAAACACTGCTGCTTCTGTGCATGGGAAGGGAGGGTAACTTGGCCTCTCTATCTTCCAAGTTCTTCCTCACTTCCCATTGCTGGCGTTCTCTCCCTCTCTCCTTTGTGCACCAAATATAGCATAACTCCTCTGGAAAAGCCAGGCAAGAGAAGAAGGGAAAAAAAAAAGATCTGGTCCTAAAGAAAAGATATCCAACCGAAGAAAAGCTTTAAAGGAAAAGGGGTGAGTTTGGAAAAGAGGTCATATGGAATTCCATCGCTATTCTTTCCATTCCGAGAGAAATTGCTCTCGCGGCCCCCTTGCTCGGTTGCAAGGATCCTACCTTGCTGCTGCTATTCTCCAGGAGAAGAAAGAGACTACCTTCTCAGTAGAAAGGTTGGTTTCAACATCATGTTTCTTCTGAGTGAAAACTATTGTGAAGACGGCATGAGAGCGACTACTGGTTTCGTTCATGTTCGTAGCTGCCACCGTCCTTAGGAAGGAAAGAAGGAATGTTCTTTTATGCTTAGAGGGGAAAAAAAATCAGAAAAGACAACAGAAAAGCTGCTTCGGAGGGTTGGCCCTGCACCCACCAGCCAGCCTCTGAGCCTACTGGAAGCTCTCAGCTTCTCAAAAGAAGAGTCTGGACGTACAGATTTGTTTCCCCCAAATATTCTCCCTGGTGAGGGGAGCAGATCTTGGTTGAACAGGAGGGCAAGAGGAATCACAGGACATTTTCCAAGACAAACCTGCAGATCCATAAAGCTTTGCCCATGTTCTCCAGCTGAAATTCAGCAAGGAGTTGTATCATGTACCATAAGACTGTACATTTGGCCCAAGACTGTCCCCGCTGGTTACACTGTTCCCCACAGCGAACAGAGGTGGGGAAGTTCTGCCTGCTTCTTTAATGAAATCTCTTTTCCCCCTTCTTCTCAAACACTTTAGTAACAGCTAAATTTAAATTTGAATTTATTAGAATTATAAGGCCACCCAATTCAAAACAGCTGCTTTGAAGCAGAATAATTACTGGGAGGAATTCAGTAAAGCACCCTTGGCAAGCACATTTTCTGAAATGGTTCAACTGTATCTTGGGTTAATAAATAAGCCTATTTTTATATAGAGAGCATATTTTTTCAATATAAAGGAAGTTCTTTTATATCCGGAACAACCAACCAGAAAAGGTTCCAATAAGTATACTTCTTTATTTCACCCAAATTGGGGCACCATTATAATTATGTTTGAAATAAGCACAATTTGAATGTGAATATATTAAGGGTACCAACATTGAGAAGATGAGTAATTTAACCAATCAAGTTTTCAAATACTTCCTCCCTGCCAGGCACCATGACTGAGTATGAAATACAAATGGTTTGGCAGGATCCCTGAAATGCAGAGACACCAACCTCGCTTTATTCCCAGCATCCATGAGGTCTGCAATATCAGTGTAAGAAGTGACAGCAAGTTTGGACAGGTCTTCTACATAAGGTCCAAGTAGTGGGTGCTCCCGGACCCGCAAATTCCCTTTGTTTTTGGGGTTCAGCAAGTCTCGAACTCTCTCACAGTAGATCTCCATGTAACTGACCTACAAAGAAAGTTAAAACACAGAACACCCATAGAAAATGAGTATCACCAAAAAAAGGGGCTACTAGTACAGATGAAGTAGGTAATACGAAGGGAGATAGATTTCAAAAACTTCTCCAGAGGGTTAAAAATGCTCATTTAGGAAAGCTCCATTATTCATCGTGAGGGCACTTCAGAACCAAGACATCAATAAGTATTTTGAGAGCTTCTCTAGATCACTCAGGTATCTAAGGAAAAATGAGAGGCATTGCAAGCAGCTATGACCTAAGTACCCACACAAATAGCTCTGAGCTCAAGGAGCCATCTTATATAAAATTGGACCACTCTTTCAGACTGCCCAAGATAGTCCACTCCAGCGTTTCTCAACCCTGGCAACTTTAAAATGGCTGGCTGGCTGGAGAATTCTGGGAGTCTACACATCTTAAAGTTGCCAAGGTTGAAAAACACTGGTCTACTCTGATGGCAGTTACCAACTTCAACCGTTCTCATTTCATGACACCCAAATTTGGGGATTTGAAGGGGTAGCTGAACTTCCCCAGGGCAACCCTTGTACTTGATGTGGACAAAAGGCAACCCACTAGATATGGTTCGATTCCAAATTCTATATAACTCAATCAGGGATAATGAAGCTGCAATCTAACAGAACCTGGAACAAACATATCAATAAAGACAAGTCAAGCAATACATCAGGGAGCAGCAGCGTGTGTGTCTACATCAATTGCCTTTAAGCTCTTCTTGTAGAATTCTCCAAGCACTTGGTTGGCCATGATGAGAATAGGATCAGGGGATAAATGGGCTTTTGAATAAGTTCAGGATCAACACTAACATTTCCATGTGAAAAAAGAAGGGTGGCTTCTTCTGAAGGAAGAGGGGAATCCAAGATGTATCACCTCACCACAGTCTCCTTTCCTCAGCCAGACCCGAAGGCTTAACCTTGTGGTTTGCAAGTTCACACCACAGGAGTCTGAAAACAATTGCCCACCATCTCCCAAAAGTAGAGTGCTGCTCCCAAGTGTTCTGAACATCCTTTTCTTTACAGACTTTACAGGCTACAATAAACATGATATCGCTTGATATTTCTTGGCATATCCATTTTTTTGGAAGGGGGTGGGGGCAAAAGAGAAGCCAGGATGTTCCATCTTGGGAAGACCCAGAAGAAAAAGACTGCTTTTCACTTTCCCACATGAAATCTACCCTGGCCCCAAACACCTCAGAAGCCAGTAAGCTGCAGAGAGCTTAGCAGAAGCTATCATTGTTTTCCTCAAAAAAGGAGAGTTATCAAAACATGGAATAAATGTGCACAGCAATGTACTATTTTTACACAGGCTGCATTTCAATCAACGGCCAATTACGGACATAAACCTCCACTGAGCAACTTTGTGAATGGTCTGGAAGGGCCTCAGGTTAACAGGAAGAATGTGTTTGTTCAGGCACAGCACCATCTATTATGCTACCTTCCGATTGTCTACATTCTTTGGGCCCCGTGGCAATCAAACCCTCCACACACACTCCCCATGACGCAAAGCACGCCTAGGCTTCCTCTCTAAGCAGTAAAGAAGCCTTCCACCACTACGCTAATATCCAGAAACAAAGCAAGAGTCGAGTAACAAACTTTCTGGCATTCCAAAACTATCAAGGCATTCATCTCTAGCTCCATTCAACACCCAAACAGTGGTTCCCAGCTTCTAATACGGAACAGCTTTGGTGTATTTTTAAGCCTCCAAATCAGGAGCTGTGAAGTCGTTGTGAAGCGCTGAAAAAAAGGTAAGAACCTTAAGAGAAAGAACTAGCCGCTCGGCATGACTGCCCGTTTTGACTGTAAGAGCAGCAATGGTGGGGTTTTTTTTCCTTCTGGGCAATGAATCAAGGCTCTACAGACATAGCAGAATCACCTACTCCAGGAAGAGGTCAAAGCAGAGCATAGATCCCGTATCATCCAGAGTAACTTTCTCTGCAAAGCAGTGATTGGGGCTGTGGGTCTGTTCATTCCATCACTGATTTCTCTTAGCAAGCTAGCCGCGATCTCATGGCGCTACTACAAATTTGAGAATTTTTATGCAAAAACTGGGCAGTGCGGAAGAAGAATGGCCATATTGAAATGATATCCCAAACTGGATGGTATCAGAAGAAACAAAAATATCCTATAAGTCAATCCTATCAAGTAAAAAACCCTTCATCCAACAAAAATGTTCTGACAACGCCGAAAACCAGATTCTGTTTTTGAATCAGTATCTCCGAATCTCCTAAAAGAAAGGGAGTCTGTATTCCAACACTGCAGCAGTACAAACCCATTAGGCCCACACAGTTAAGTGCCAACCTGGGAATTTTCTAATTCTGCCATAAGGTATTTCTTGATTTCTCAACAAGGCCAGCTGGACTAACACTTGCACGCCAAGTATGGAAGTGGGGCTGGTCTTTCACAAGTCCACTTTTAAACCAAAGACCCGAATTTCCACCAAGTCAACCTTTTTGTGCACACATGCACACCGTCTCTCATACTCACCTCCACAGAGTAAGACATTTCCTCATTGCTGTTGTCGTTGATCTTCTCAAAGAGCTCTTCACAGAGCTATAAAGAGATTGAGAAGCCATCAAGCTATAGTTATGCAGAAAGGAATCTTATGATGTTTGTCCATGACCATTCACCTCTCCCACCCACCTACTCCAAAATACATTGATGGATTCCTAGTTTAGTCCCACCCAACCCAAATTCCTTACAGGTAAACCTATTGACCCTTTCTATAGGTTCTCATTGTGCCCAAAGTGGGAAGGCAGCTTAAGGAAGAAACAGGCCTTAAAAACCCAAATCTGACCATTGAAATTAGGAATGTGGGTTGCAATTCCAAAGGGTTATGATGATGTTAAATCTTCTCTATTCCAGCTATAAAGCATTAACACTGCCACTTATTTTTAGAAGAATCCTTTGAATTCGCCTGTGTGAAAAGTTTCGACCAGTTTGGATGTTTTTAATAGCTCCACTAAGTCGTGGTCACTCAGGGTCCCCATTTCTTCCTTATCCCCTTCCTGCACCCCAAAAGAATAAAGAAATACCAAGTACACAAAGCTTTCAAAGCCTAGAGCCAGGAATCCTAATTATATATTCAAAATAAATACAACGTACAAAAGAAATTGCCTTGAAAATATTTGCTCTGGCTTCCTTTCTTACAAGCACAGTACAGAAATTTCAGTGGACACAAGATCAGATAAGATCACTTCAGTCAGAGACACCAAATTCTACAGCTTTCAGTAAAGATGAGACACTTGTATCTACGTAGCCAGAGCAGGCAGTCCCAATTTGTGAGAAGCTCTCGTTCAGTATGCACACGAAGCAAAACTCAAGCTTGTTCAGCTTTCAAGTGAAATCACTGACATTAAGATCACTACTGTATAATGAAGTGAAGGAAATGGTGTTGAGTGCACTGCTCTGTCTGACAGCAGAAGCTCTGCCTGCTTGCAGATAAGAGGATTTGGGGCCCTGTTATCTGGGTTCCCATTGCAGTGGGGACAGAGTGAACGGCATCTGAGACTTTCTACATGCTCAGTGGGTTGATCTATAGCCCCTCCCCCATAGCTCTTATTTTGCCATAAGAGATTTTCTAACCGTATGTTTTGGTGGGCAGCAACTGATTCGCAACGTGCGGAGGGTTGACCTGGGGAAATAGCTGCTGAAACCATTTGAGAGGCAGCAAACTTCCCGTTTCGTGCAAAACTGTTTGGGAATGAGAAGGTTGCGGGGTTGCCAATCTGAAGCTTCCAAATGTGTACCAACAATCAGGGCTCAGTTTAACTTTTGTTTCTTTGTTCTTCCTTCTATTTCAGAGACCCACAGCTTGAACACCTGGCTAGCGTTTCATTTAATCCATACGCAGTTTCTAGCTTGAACCAAGCCCTTATCTGATTTCTCCTTTGTATGTTTTATCAGATGGCTGGCACATTTTCAAACACTGTGCCAGTAGCTTTTGCTGCTGGTCCTAGAGCAGAATGATTATTCAGATCAACTATTCGCAAAACAGTTATACAAGCTTAGCCTTTGCTCCTCCGACATCCCTTACAGTTTCTTTCAACTTACCCAGCATTACAGTCTGGAAAATACTGTCTTCCCATGTCAAAATGGCATTGTCTTTTGAAATTATTTTAAGAAGTCAGTTGGACAAAAGACAAATGCATCTGAAGACGACTATCGTTTCAGTGTTTTCTACAAAATGCTTACCATATATCCCAACTTCACTAAGAAGTTCAACGTAATAAACCAATAAAACACAAACAGAGTTACAAATTCAATGAAAACGAAATACAGAGTGGGTTGTGTACCACTCTTCACACCATCAGTTTTAAGCGTCATTCAAAGGCCACATTTTAAGCAGAAAGAGGCATTCAAGACTCACAACTAACCACCCAACTGCCACCGAGACAGGCTGCACAATCTGGAGGAAGACAGGAAGTAGCAAAGGCATCATTCGCTTGCCAGAGAGAAAAGCTGGGATATCCTCCAAGCTTCTGAAAGGCTCACGCAAAAATGTTTGGGACCCGCAAAATAACGAGAGATCCAGTTTACCTGTGGGATGATCCCTGCCTGGTTCTCCTCCTGCTTCCCCATCATGGTGTAAGATTTACCGGCTCCGGTTTGGCCATATGCAAAGATACAGACGTTGTAGCCTTCAAAGGCATGGAGCAGCATTTCTTTCCCAATATCATTGTATACACGATTTTGAGATGCGAAACAAGGATCCTCAGACTGCAGGGATTTAAACAAAAAGGAGTCAATCCAGATCCTCCTGAAATGGAAGAACGTTCATGTAGAGTGATGGAAAGAATAAACAAATCTCATAAAAGAGCTCTCTAGAGAAAGGTAGCAAGATTTTTAACATGTTAGTCAGGGCTGGGAGTAATCACCATTGAGGGACAGCATCTCATCAACGCATAAAGATTTTCTACCAGAGTTAGGCTTACTCTAATCTTGTTGGGCTACAAATGTCCACCATCAAGGAATTCCCACTACTGCTCTCAGATTGTTTTATCAGTGAAAAGTGAAACATTTTATACATACAAAAATTAATACAGAACTGGATATGGCAACCTTGGCAACTTGGCTGCTTTAAAGGGAATCAAGATGGCTGCTTTCCCCCCCAACTAAGAAATTCTGCCAGCTATGAAACTTAGCCAGCTTGTGCAGCTGTCCCATGTTGACAACCCTGTTCATTAAAGCCATTCTTGCCAATTTTGTTGGAAAACAGAGAACCTTAGCAAATTAGTACTGAGGGCAAATAGGGCTGGGGAAAAAGAACAAGCCCAAGTTAGTTAAATCTGCAGTTTTATACAGCTGACTCTTTTCAAGAAATCTGAAAGAACTGGAAGACATTAAAACGTTGAACATCTTCTGAGCCACCCAAACAATGAATGGGAAAAGGAAGGGCGTATTGTTCAGCAAGGCTAAACAGCTAAAATATTTGATGAAGAGAGAGGTGATAGCAGAGGGCAAGTTGTGAGATCACTGTGGTATAACCACATTTTACTATGCTATTTTTATTTGTACAGTACTGCAGGGCGCAAATCCCTAATACCAAACTCCTACCACTGCCTCCGCTGAGAATCAAGAGCTTCTGAGTTTACTACAAAAGAGGGTCTCCAATCTTCAGTCTTTCCATATTACTATTTCTAGAGAATTCTGTGAGCTACAGAGTCTTGCCAGCTTACAGCAGCTCCAGTCCCACCCACCTCTATTGCCAACTTTTCAAGCACTCCTTAACTGAAAAATATCAAGGGGCTAAAAGGGGAAGCCAGTGCCAGACCCTCCAGTTTAAATGGCAGTTGTGTTTTATCAGCTTTACCAAGGAAAAATAAAGCAGACAAAAGACTTCAGAAGGCAAGCAAGTTCAAAAAAGCAAATGGGGGGGAAAAGTGCTACTTTTTTTTAAACAAAGCCTTTAAGCATGACATAATTCGGAGCAACAGCTGACCAGCAGGAACATTTTTCCCACTGAAGGAATAAATGAAGCAGAATATCTCTAAACAAGATGATCACTCTACCATGTTCTGTATGGAAAATCAAAATTATTACTCAATTAACAACAGAAAGAGGTGGGGGAAAAGAAGGGCAGGAGTTCAGAGGATTGGACGTGTAACTTCAAGGGGGGGGGAAGCAGAGGACTCTATAAGGGACCCTACTTTAAGGGGTAGAATAATCAGATATTGGGAGCTGTGTATTGGGGAGTGGCCAAGGCAAAAACCATCCATCTCAATACTGTTCTTCAAAAATCAGATTCAAGGGAAGATGCTTCATTTTCATGTCTCCCATTATTTAGGGTAGTAGTTTTAAAGAATATTTCCGAAAGATTTGGGAAAAGGATACTGCACATAAATTCCACCTATTCTATGGAACAAGGTTGCCCATTTCCTCTGTGAGTCATTTACGAGCTAATATATTTCTTATCTAGCAGTTTGCTTTATCCCAAAGGCAACGTCTGGGTCTCTCTGAGATGATTTTGCAGCAATGTTTTACTGATCTGTTTTCTTTTCTGGGAAATATTCCTACTTTGTTTGATTAATGCAGCAAAATACGATGCAGGTTCTGCAGAGAATTAACATTTTCTCTACACGCGAGCTAAAAATGTTCAGTCATCTGCTCTACCCAATGCATAGATTTTCCTTTTCTGGAAAAATCAATGATCCAAGTGTACAAAGTGCTGTGGATGGGAAGAATCAGTTTTCACTGTTTTGATCTGTTTAAGGACACTGAATGGCAGTACCACAAAGTCCAACAATTGCTGGAAGTCAGCAAAATCTCAGAGGTAGCTTTCACAGGGGATATGGGGGGCTTCAGTGCCTGGAAACGGGCATGCTTTCATGATCTGGTCTAGTGGGAGTGCAATGGGGAGCACAGTACCCTGCTCTTAATCAGCTAAGCCAAGAGATTGAAAACTCATCTTTTACTGAGTTATAAACATTCCTGAAGGAAGTTTATACATAGATTCATACATGGAAATTGTTTGCTGTTCAAATTCCTTCTTGGAGCTGCTTGGGCTAATCCTCTGTCTGCAAGGCCATCCTTGTTCACGCTCGTACCTCACATGAAATTTAATATTTCTGATCCCATGCTAGAAAATGCATTTAGATCAAGAAGAACCTTGGCACTTAAATGGCTAAAACCGCAATCCAAGCAGAGGAGAAAAACAGCTGTTGGCTGGAGGAGGGAAAGAGAGAAATATCCAGCCATCAGCTGTAGGGCTTGTACCCCACCTTCAGAAGGAATCTGGGTCCAAGACAATACAGAAGTCTTACCGAGGTGTGGGACCAGTATGAGTAGTCAAAGCTGAAGGATTTTGGTGTTTCTTTAGGGTTCTTTGGGTTCAGAATACCTGGAAGAAACAAACATACACATTCACCATCCAAGAACTCTGAGGAACAATCAGAATCAGCTCCCACCTTCTACTACTTGATACTTTACTACACTTGCCCACCAAAACGTGATTCACAAAAGATTATACGTCATCTATTTGTATTAAAAAGCATTGTGCAGAACTATCATAAACAAGAGTAATACTATCACACACACCCAGAGCCACAGTTGTTTGAGTTGGGCTCCATATTAATAAATCTCTCAAATAAATAGAACCAGTATTGCTTGGTGGACATTTGACTTGCTAAATAACCCACTTTGAATCCTGTGGGTTTATTAGTTTTGTTTTAATTTTACTGGCCATTCTATTAGCTTAAGTTCTGTTATTTCATATTTGTTCTTGTGGGAAGCCATCTTAAATTCTTACCAGAAAGGCAGGATATACTGTAAAATGTTTTTAGCATATGTATATAGGAATAGCAGAAGGCAGATGAAGCAACTTAGCCATGAATTGGGATTTCAGTTTTGAAAAGCTACTAAGCTATCCAGTAACTGAATTCAGGGCCACATATATTTATTTATAAGATTTACATGGCCACCCATGTTAAGAAGCACGACTCTGGGCAGCTCACAACAGCAATAAAACCCCCCAAATCATACAAATAATAAAACCAAGCTTAGCGCCAAGAGTCACTGGAAAAGACCCTAATGCTTGGAAAAATCAAAAGCATTAAAAAAGAGAGGTGCCAACGGAAGACAGGGTGGCCAGATACTATTGCTGATAACACAAGCGTGCACTTACAAGAACCCAAAGAAGCAGTTACTGACAGTCAGTCCTGACAAAATTTTATCCATTTTTCAGAAGCTGCTGAACAATGATAAACCAGTTTCAATAACAAGCATATGCTGGAGATCATCAGATGTAACAGGTTTGCAAGGCAGCAGATAGGCACTTTCTAAACTCTCGAGTATGCCAAATATAATAAGGAGTGTAAGAAATCCACAGAAAGCAGAGAGATAGACGAGATGTCAAAAAATAGGCCATCCTACTGAGAATTTCTGGATTGGGGAACGAGGAGAATTCTTCTTTGAACTATAATGAAGACCCACAACCCTCCCCCCTGTCCGAGCCCCAAACAAAAGCTGGCACGCATTAGTAATACAAAGCTCAAGGGCTCCTGGGAATTTCACAGCAGGGCATTCAAACCTATTTGGAAATGCCTGTTACAATACTGAAATAAAAAGCTCCTGAACTTATGGATTTTGCTTTCAGAAGCTCAAGATTCTATGGAAGAACTGGAGCAGGCAATGAAAAGGAGGAGGAGGAGGAGGAGGAGGAGGAGGAAAAAAAACAAACTCGCAG